TGAAAATGCAGACAGAAAAGCTGCAGGAAGGGAAGGGAATTGCCAGACATATGCGTGCATACCATGTTTAAATGACTAAAATAGAGTTACCATCTGTGAAGTGCAAAAATCTGGATGATAACTACTGTAGATGGCAGCAAAAAGTTAGAGTTATTTTGTATCTCTCTGCTGCCTCCTAGTGATCCTCTGGATTTCTGCAGGCTAAATATATATTTAGATTTAACTGATGTAGAGAGCTCAGCGGGGATCATCTGATCCATCTTTTTCTGTTGGGTCTTTCTCATATGAAGCCATTGACAGTGGTAAATTTTTTAGTAGCTCTAGATAAACCTAAGTATGAAATTCAGAAGTGTAGAAGCTGTGATAGATAATTCCAGTATGAATATAATGGACTGTTTTTTTTTTAGTCTGAGGAAAGTTCCAATCAAAGCAGTATCAACCTTAGGTTCTCACAGTCAATACAGTTTGCAAAGCACTAGATGGATTTCTACTGACCATCCAGATATTTTTAGCGTGGATATATTAGCCCTAGCAAAGAGAGCACTTGAGAATTTGTAAAAATGTAAACACATGATCACAATCTGAGATTTACTATTGCTATAAGGACAGCACCTAGCTGACCTTCTCTGGACTCAGAAATAAAACAAAGTTGGCCTAGCTAATATTGGGGTAGGAGACTAAGGCCGTAGGCTCAATGAAGAAGCTGAAAAAGAAAAACTGGCAGAAAACAAGGCAAATCCAGGAGAGAGCAAAACCTCTATATTGCTGCCAAGACATTTACATGGACCTGTCTGTGTAGACATCAAGTCTCAAGTTCATCTTGAAGGAAATGTTGCAAAATATATCCAAGTGACAAAAACCTCCAAAATATTTGCTGTGGTTTATGGAATCCAAAACTATATACTGCATGAAAAAAAAAGGCAAAGAGCTATTACAAAGAGGTTCTAGAAACTCAGTCTTGCCTGGAGAAAAGAACCCCCACCCTCACCCCAAGGATAAGACAGCTACTTTGATCTCCATCTAAAAGGAAGTTACTTTTAGTCCTGGCTTTCTGCCACCATCATGTGAATCTTTCTCAGTGATGATCTTTCATGCACAGCTATGCTGGCTGGCTGACAGGGAGAGACTAATGTTCTTGTTTGCCTCTTTCTGCTTTTCAGCACAGTGATGGAAGACCTTGACATACAAGCGTACAGTTGCATCTGAGTTCTCATCTCACAGCCCTGCTGCTATTTTTCTTTCTGATCTTAATTGTAACTTCACCCTCCATCTCAGAAAACCCACATGGGTTTCCTTCTGCAGTGTTAATCCTCCAACAAACGTATGGTAGGTTAGGTGAAAGATAATAACTGATCCAAGCTTATTCTAGGGAGTTTTCTCCAGAGTCTGCCTTGTCTAATCCAGTACATTTAACATTTTGTATTTACAGCAACCCTGTGAGATGAAATAGGCAGAAAGACCTGCCCTGGGTAGAATGAGATTCATGTCTGAGCAAGAATGAGTTTTCCCAGGTTTAGACCAGTACCTGAATTGTCACACCACACTTGCTTTGTAATTTTATTCTCCCTCACTCCAAGTTTTTTGGGAACTGATGACAACTTGCATTACCTGCTGTGTTAGACTCCCAGCACCTGCTCCTGGTTATCGCTTTTATCTTTGTATTTTGATTTACATTTCAAACTTGTCCCTCTTGGCAAGTAGCAGCATTTCCTTACTACAAGCCAGTTATTCCAAAAATATGTGTATCAGCAACTGAGGCTGACAAGACAGTGTCGTGTCTAAGGCAATGAACCCATATGATCCTAGCTCGAGCACCACCCGCATCTTCATACCAAAAAATCAAAACAACACAAAACATTCAGATGGCAAGATTTTGCTGTTGCTAGGATAAAAAAATACAATTTTTAATTTCTGCCATGCCAAAGACATTGATTTCTGGATTAAACCAAAAACAGTATCCCTGCTTTCCTCAGTTCTGTTGAGGAGAGGCGATAGCTATGGAATGTCATATCTGCTCTGGAGGAACTAGAGCATGAGAGATGGACTCTACCACAGGAGACAGGCTGTCAGGTTACAAGCTGTTCCATCCTTTTCACAAGCCTCCGCTTGCTAAGGTCATGCCATCAAAAGAAAGGCTTGATGGATGAATGTAGGTAAGTTTATTGAAGCTGCTTTGTCTCACTTTGCTTGTAGATACGACTGTGTAAAGATTACTTGGGGGTTCTACTATAGGCTTGCAGAATTCCAGTCTAGAGTTTTCTTTAAAATCATAGCCACATAAATCATAACGTAGCTTATCTTTATAATTTCATCAATCATTTGGTTCAGTCTGTAAATTCAGAAAAGAGTAATACTCAAAACTACTGTATTCCATTTGCATTGCATACATGGAAGGAAATTTGTCACATTTGAAATAACAATCTACTCCTATGGAGAATTTCCTCTCAGCGCAGCAGCCTCAAAGGGGCAATTTTCACCCAACTGCAGAAGAGGAAGAAGGTATAAGCTGTCTCTGCCCCTGCATTATAGTCCTTCCAGAGCTGCTATTTGCAAATTGAAACATCTACATTCAATGCAAAAGAAACATTGGAATCATGTATTTGAATTCAATGGGGGGTTTTCATGGAAAAGCAGCCGTACACAGTAATCCAAGTATGGATTTTATTGTACCTCATACATGGAGTTTTCATGTTTATTCTTCCATTTCTAATTCTCCCATGTTTTATGGCTGCACCTTTCACTTCCTCTCTCCCCAATAAAGGAAAAATTAAGAAGAATATAGCTGCATTTAAAAAAATACTGATATGTACATATCCCATCTTTGCTCCAAGAGCTTAAGTAATTTACATTAAGAACTCCCTTCATTTTATCCCACACAACACCCAGTAAGTTTCTTTGACTAAGGGTAGACTTGAACCCGGGTCTCTCCAATCCTAGTCCAAGACCCTAACCACCATAACACTGGGTCTTTATCTAAGCATGCTAGCTATTGCTGCAATCATCCTGTTTAGTTATCTTACTCAGACCTGCCCATTCTCTGAAACTTTTTAGGCACGCTACAGAACTCCTTGCTGCGCTATGTGGATGTTTTATGTTCCTTTTTCACAACTGCTTTTGAGGTAATCCCCGTCATTTGCTTTCCTTCTGTCTGGAGCCTATAGGGCAGGGATGAGGGTGAGAACTTCAGCCACGTCATCTCAAAATGCAATTCCCTACTCATAGAATCATTTAAGCTATGGAGTTGCTAAGAGTCAATGACTTGATGGCACATAATCAATCAATCAATCAATCAATCAATCAATCAATCAATCCCCATTCACCAGTTCCCCCCCCCCCATGGGGCCATATAGGTAATTACCAAGACGATTTTTAAAACTTGCAAGGTTTGCCTAGAAAGGGTAAGGGGAACACCATGTAGAAAGCCGATGCAGCGAATGAAATCTTAGATTCCACAGAAAATGAAGATTCAAGTCAATTGACCAGAAAGAGATCATCCATTTCTTTGTATCTATCGCTGTATAGTTATTTCCTCTATTTTGCTGTTTGAAGTGTTTTTGTTGTTGTTGTGGAGCTATCTGCTTAATAGTTTTGCTGCAAGAGATATGATGGTAATTTGATGCCTCATCTTCTTCTCCTATGCTGCACAACGGTATCTGACTTTAACGCTCCCATGATGACTGTACCCTCTACTGCACCTGAGCAGTAGGCTAGTTTAGGAAATCCACATGGCCATGATTCTGATCCCCAGCATCTCAGGTGACTTCCTTCTGGCCATGCCTATGTAGAGAATTGGGCCAGAAGTACTGCCCTTCTTCCCAAATCCCATTCAGTCCCCTTCACATGAGAGTTAGCATTGATCAAATCTGCCATCTGTAGCCATAACTTTGGGCAGAATAATTTTCTGGAACAACCCCAAAAGTGGGTCAAACTCTGTAATAAAGGCTGGTATCAGCCAGCAATTGTTACATAAAGCACATACTTTTTCACATGATTGTAGTATTTCACAAAACTGAGGGAGGTTCAACTATAGCACTGTCCTAAAAAAATTCCTTGGGGAGTAAATGTTATTGAATTAATTGAAACTGATTTTAAAGGTTGTTCTTATTTCCAAATTTTAAAAAAGTAAGATTGAAGTGGGGTTTTATTTTTTCATAGCAATATAAAATGTGGCAAAATGTTTAGCCACATAAAACATTATGGGCCAAACCTAGACTGTAATGGACTGTTCTTGCCTTAGAAACATACATTTTAAAAAACAACAATACCTAGCGCTGTTATAGATGCTGTAGTTGTGTCCCACTGAATTCAGCATGGGTTACTCTCAGCTAGGTAAACAGAGGGTTTCATTTTTAATTATCATCTAGAACAGCGTTTCTTAGATTTTTTTCTCTCAGGACCCCTTCCCACTTTTAAAAATGATGGAGGACCTCAAAAGAGCTTTTGTTTGTATGGGTTATATTTATCAATATTTTCTGTATTAAAAATTAAAATTGACATGTTCGCTGCTGCTATTGCTTCTCACAATTATTTGATGGGATTTTAATATTGTATTATTTTTCAACATAGGCTGGCAAATAATTTTGATTTTGCAGATCTCTTGAGACCTAGGGATCCTAGGACCATATTTTAAGAAACACCAATTTTAATATTGTATTATTTTTCAACATAGGCTGGCAAATAATTTTGATTTTGCAGATCTCTTGAGACCTAGGGATCCTAGGACCATATTTTAAGAAACACCAATTTTAATATTGTATTATTTTTCAACATAGGCTGGCAAATAATTTTGATTTTGCAGATCTCTTGAGACCTAGGGATCCTAGGACCATATTTTAAGAAACACCAATCTAGAACAAGTCCCAAATCTTGTTCTCTGTTTGTAAAGTTTTCTTTGCCTCTCCATGAGTTGACAAGTACCTTTTTTTCCAAGCCTTTAATTCACTGTTTGAAAGAAGAGGAAAAACCCCCCCAATGAAGGACATTTTATTTGTAACATTTTATTATTTGCTCTCAGATAAAAACAAAACATTACATTTCAGAAAACACTACACAAAATAAATCCATTGTGACTGTAAAGTGCATTTTTTCAGTTATGTAAAAAATATATTTAAGAACATGCAAGGCACCCTGAAGCAAAAAATGGACTATTCCTCATTACATTCATACAGGCAAGAGAAACAAGAAAGTCCAAGAAATTGGCATTAAAATTTGGAAAGAAGACTGAAATAAAAGTGCATTTGTTATAGCCATTCTGGGTTTGCATTTCACACTGCTGAGCAACTTTTTCTTTCTCTCTATTCGCTTCACAATAAGCTAGATCCGTTAAATAAGCCAATTATCAGGACTCACACGACGCAATAAGCCAGGGTTTACAAACCATGGTGGCCGTCCCCAAAACCAATTAAGCCAAACCAAGCAAACTTCATGACGACTTTGTGCAGGGGTGTGCTACTTATAGTTAAAATGATTACTCCTCATGTTATTAAAATTCAGTCAGAGGTACATTCAGCCCAAGCAGCTCAGCTCTGCATCTCTGGGTTCAGCGAGTGGTGCACGCCTAGCCTCTTTCCTCTCACCTGCACCCTTCAACGTAGCCTATTCTTGTCCTTGCCCCTTTGGCATGATGTTCAATACTGTAACCTACTTTCTTGGCAACCTTTAGAATAGTTTTACATCCTAGCAGAGGAAGTCATTTCAGCTCAGCATAAGGCCTCTGGAAGACTGAATTCAGGGATACATGGAATCCAGACCTTTGGACTAAAGCAGTCCAACTGGCTTGTGTCCAGTCTGTCTAGAGTTCTTCAGTTCAAGATTGTCACTTGACATGTTTCAGTCCTGCATCAAATCCCTCGGCTTGGTGAGAATATGAAGGATTAATACAGAGGGATGGGTCACATGAGTGGGATCTAGATTTATAAAGATGTGTAGCATGGTCAAGGCCTACAGGAAGAAACCGCACTCTGGCTGCTAAATAGGGCCACATATAGTCCTGATCAGAAGATTAAGGGTAATGCATTAAGTTACACCAGCTTATTTTTTCCACTAACATTTTGCTTCAACATGCAAGGCAGCTGTGCACAGCCCACATTTGCGACTTTATTGAAGGATCGCATGTATGAATTTTTCCCATGAAAACAGATTTTGCACATGATTTTCAAAGATTATTTCTTGAATATACACAAGGAGTAAAACATTTCTTGTAGCCTATGGTAACCTTCCTACTTGCAATCCCAAGCTTGTATTTTAAACTACTTCTCTACTCTCTAAGTACAAATTTACACATCAGCCTTCCCCCTTCTCGGGCCCTCCCAGACCCACCGGACAACCACCCTATCATCTCCTGCACCATCTGGAGGCCTTCAGGAAGAGAAAGGTTGCAATACACATTTCTTTTGAACATGTACTGCTGTGTTCAGTGGCTTCACTTCCAACTGGTTCTAAAACTCTTGCTACTTGAGCTCTAAAGGCAGCAACAGCTTGTTAAAGCAGCAGTTAACGTGTGCATTTTATTATGAGTTGTCCCTCGGGAAATAAATGATTTCTTCAATCATATTAAGCTCCAAACAAAAAACTAGAGGATTTAGTTAGATTGCTTTTCCTTCACAGAAAGAAACAGTCAACCCATCAGAGTAACTCAGTCCTGAAATCCTTTTCCTTGGAATAAACCCCACTGCCAAAGAAGGCATGCTCTCACTTTTCAATCAGCAGCGAGGAAGGATGCAGGGAGGAGAAGCCAAGTCACCTCTTTGTATGAATCCAGTTTCATCATACAGGCTTGCAGCTGCTGATCACACCCTCTGCAGAGATGTTTTTATGTTTAAAGCACCAATATCTAAGACCAATTGGGTGTTTGTGCTGAAGTTTCTAATACACAGATAGTTAACAGCTCCAGGGCCACGTATTAATTCAAGTTGAAGGCATGCAAATGAAATGACAGGACCCATTACGGGATGATAAGGAAATGCTGGGTTTTCATATTTCTTTAGAAACGAGCTGTGGCATGCTGGTAGACCTTCCCATTTTTAACCACAAGCTAACATTCCAGGGCAAGGCTCTTGCATCATGCTAAGTAATCAAGCTTGGTCATTGCTGCTCTTCAAAAATTGCCTAGGGGCCTGCACGAACCCCTTTCCAAGTCAAGGTTCTTCAGAGAGAACAGGGATCGCAAGGAATTAATCTGAGTATTAGTCTAAAATTCTCAGCTCATACTTCTGCTTCACATACAGCAAAACTATTTATGGAGCTATTTATTCTATCACCACCATTGAGTGGAACCAAAACAACTGATTTGCTTTAAGGTGGAGCTATGAAACTCTAGTATGTATCATATGTTTGAGCTATCAAGCAACTTCACCATTTTGTTATGGACACTACAACCAAGCGCTGAAATGGGTCAACTTTCTAATCAGTTGGATTTATAATTCAAGGTGGAAAGTCTGAATAGCTTTCTTTAGTGTTAAACAAGAACCAGAGAGGGATTGGCCCCCAATAAATGATAAAACATTGCTATCACCTGTAGTTGACTACGGTTTCTGCCAATAGGGGAAAATATTTTAGAAAAGAAACAGTGATGAGTTTATGAAGATGAAGCAACATTTTTGGATTGTTTTGCTCTGCATACAAGGAATGATTTACCATTTTTGGTTAACCATCTTTCCCTCTTAACATTACAAGACTTCAGAAATATAGGAAGTTGTTATTCCAGCTCATTTGCCTAACTAGCCCAGGACTTTGAGCCCTGACTGAGAGCAGCTCTAAAGAGGCCAGATGTGGGAGTTAGTTCTCACACAGTCAGAGGAAAACAACCTGATATCAGATTTGTCCATTACCAAAACAAGAGACCAGGATTTCTGCCAAAAGAGAGGGCTGTCCAGCCCATTGCATAGCTCAGGCAGGAGAAAGTGACAAGAATTTAAACACTGATTTCATTATAAAAAGGACTCACATTTGATACACAGCAGTCACTGGAATTCATTCATAATGGCTTTTAGCTTTTCTATAATAAAGCTACTTAATGAAAGTTCCTAAATTCTTGTATGTCTGTTTAATTGGTTCTAGTCCGGCCTGCTGGGAAAAGCCTGACACAGAGTATTAATATGCCTAGAGAAGCCAAGCATTCTTGTGTCTGAATTCAAAGTGTCTGTTCTAGCACTGAGCTAAAATGCTCCTATTACTGGGCATAAGCACTGAGGAGGGCAAGAAGAAACTGGACTTAGTGGGTATTCTTTATTTGACATGATACCTTATTTATGTCAATAACATTCAATTTATGGGCATTTTATAAAATTCATGAAACAGAATAGAATTTTAAAATGTTCTCCACCCAGATGACTAATCTCAGCCGGTTCCAAAGAAACTATATTTAAATAAGTTGGCGTCATGAGGAGTTAAGACTTAAAAACAATTTTATTCTTAACAGTCCACTGCCACTTCATAAAGAAGTTGTCGAGGGAGATAAATAAAATCACCTATATAAAATCATCACTTATTGTGGAAGCTAAAATGCTACATCAGCCTTCTCCAGCCTGGTCTTCTACCCACTGACTGTCCTGCCTGGGGATTATAGGAACTAAAGACTAGCACATCTGGAGGGCACCAGGTTGGTTAAGGATGGATTATATGACTGGGCTACTGGGCTCATCTGACTCAGCCACTGAAAGAAATGTACATATGTGTTTAGGAAAAGAGATACAGGCAGAATGGTGAGTAAGCATCCTGGAATCTTCCCACAAACAAGGCAGTTCCTAAAATGGAAGGAAACAAAGGATCATCTGAGCTAAAATTGCAGTATTTTCCATATGAGAGTTTTAGCCTCTCACAGATTGTACACTCTGATTAGGAGAGGCGGGAAGATGGCCTAGCTCATCCCTGCCTCTTGTTTCTCGTCAGAGAGTTGGCTTTATTAGAGATATGTAGCAAGTTTGACTCCAGAATACAGAAAACTAACAAAGCGGAGAAAAATCTGTTCTGCACAGCTTACAACACTGCAATGTATCTCAAGGACGCACCCAAACCAAACCGCCCGAACTACAGCAGCGAGTGGTGAACTGGATCTGCAGCAGCTGTGAGGCAGCCACGTCCCAGGAGACCAGGGACCATCTCCTTTTGTTTAAATTCAAAGGAAAATGAAGAGAGCATCTGCCCTAAAACCTTTGCAGCCAGGAGTTTTCACACGCTCTTTGTTTCACTTTCTGTAATTGCAAACTTGCCGTTCTTCTGGCCGCTCTGACTCTGCTGCAACCACCTCCCCCAAGAGGGTTTTCTCTCTCTGTCTCCTCGTTCCTGTGTAGTAACTATATTCCCAAGTCTCTGATTTAGTAATAAGGGCCAAGTTTTTCATATCCGGAATAGCTAGGCCATTCAGGAAATAAGCCATAAGAACACCGGGGGCTTCCAAACTGATCAAAGGCAATTCCAAAATCAGGCTCACCCTGAGGCTGTGAAATCTCCCGAGCTGATTTGAGTTCGGAGCATATGATCCTGTAATTCAACCCCTTGTTGCTATCCCAGTAGACTTTACCATCACATTCATAAAACACAGCAAACTCAATTCTTTCATGGGCTTGAACTCGCTCTGGCAAGCTAATATCAAAGGAGAACGTATCCTTATCAGAACTGGCATAGGTGTCCTTCACGTACTGGCACGGGTAATCCGTGAAGGTTTTCCAAGTATCAAACGTCATCCGAATCTTGACGGCCTTCTCAAACGCCAGATTCCTGACTTTCACGGTACCTACAATAGCTTTATCTTTCAACATGCAGTTCTCAAGACAGACGCAGTCTGCCTGGAGGCGATTCCGAAAGTCCAAGTAATCTGCAGAAGGCTGTACAAAATCCAAGACAAAGTCATCTCGGTCCACCGTCGTCAGGCCCACAATGTTGTCTATCAGTTCTGTGATGTTCAACGGAATATCCACCGGGTCATCAAATTCGGAGAATACTTTCACCACCGTCAGAGCCAAGCCCCTGCTGTCGGCAAAAGAAACCCTTTTTTTCACCCGGCTCCCCTGCAGAGCTTGGACCTCTGCCCCCAGTTCGTTCAACACGGGGCTGCTGTTCACGTGGATGCAGGGCCGCAAAGGCTTCTCGACCTTCGGGGCTATTTTGCAGGCAAAGCTTTCTCTCCGCAAAGAGGGGGCCCGCAGGTAGAGTTGCATGGCTACATCCACTGCCATTCTGGGCCTTTGAGGAAAAGAGTCCAGGATTCTGGAGGAGGGGATAAATTAAAAATAAAATAAGAGGGCCACATTGCACATTAAACAGTTAAAAGCCACAGAGCAGGCCATAGCCGGTCCCAATTCTCTGATCAGTATACCTGTGGATTACACCTTTTGGCAAAGAAAAGCTCCCCCTTTACAAGCTTCATAATCTTAGTTGTCTAATTAAACATATAATGGACTCTGCTAGGTATATAAGGCTCACGGTCTTGAAGGGGTCTTGCTTAACATCCTTGATAAAAACAATCAGATGAATTTCAGAAGTGCAACAGGAGATGTGGACATACAACTCAAGTTTTTAGAATTAGGCAGTCTGGGAACAAAATAGTTGGACTTACAAGCTGATATGTCTGCACTGATCTAGCAACCAAATGGCATGTTCCCTTGTTCAGAAATAGCAATTAGTCCACGGAGAAAGTATGATTTGAATGTAGAGTTTGGCAGATTTCAACAGAAATGTAACTAATTGATCAAAACTCTGTTTCATGTCATTTCACATGCCATCCCCCCAAACAAAGACCCAGAGTTCAAATTTCTACTTGATCATGGCATATCATAGAATCACGCTTTCCCCACCATTACAATACTAAATCCACTTCAAACACTCTCCTGAAGAACATCTGTCTTTCTTCTATCCCATCTCACTTAAAGGCAACATAAACGGCATAATAGCCCATCTACCACATGCTCACCCCGTAACCCAGAAGGTGCTGGGTTGGAACTGCATTCCAGTCTGCAGCATTCCGAACGGATAGGTGTTCCAAGGCCAGCAGAGCAATAAGGCACAGACAGGCTTGGAGAGCTGAGTAAAACACAACTCCCAGAGGCTAAGGCTGCATTTCCTTTTACAGCAAGTTCTCCACTCCTCTAAGTACAGGAAACTTTCTTTCAGTGTGTAGAAACAGGAAATGGAATAAACCACCCCAGCCTCTTGAACTGAACTGGAGCGGAAGCCACAGCAGACCTGTGACTTCACAGATTTGCAGCTCAACAATATTGAGACATTTCAGGAATTTACACTGATGTCACCATGTCAATGGATTTGGGTCATAGCACTGCTGAATTCACTTCCGTGAAACTCTGCCAGGATCCAGGCATGAACAAGAAAAAGGGTTAAATTAATAATGTAAAGAAACACTGCCTACCAGGAAACTACCTAATTCCTTCTGTGCACGTTACTTCTTTCTAGATTCCTTGCAGTTTTGAATATTACATAGATTTGGCAACACTTGGCTCCAAATTACAAGCAGTGATCTTTCAGCATTTGTCCAAGGTTCACTTTTGAGTAGGCTAAGCTCAGAGCACTATTAACACACAACGTGTCAAGATCTAAATCTGCAAAATACTAGCAGAATATATTTAGTAAGTAGGCAGTTGCATTTTACAGTGCAATACCAGCTAAACCAGATTACACTTGACACTGTATTAGTCTTCCCCAACCCTGACAAATTCCAGCTTTTACGGAAAGTCAGTTTGCAAAAATACAAATAAATACCCCTCAGAAAAGAGATTCCAATAGCATCAAAGTGTTTAGAAGGAGATGGGCAGTTCAACTTGGTGCCAGCCAGATGTTTTGAATTACACTTCCCATAATTCCTTGCCACTGATCCTGCTGCCTGAGCTGTTGGGAAGTTAAGTCCAAAACATCTAAAGTGCATTAGTTTGTCTACCTTGATTTAGTCACTGAACCTAGACTGGAAACAAGATTAAGTCCTCACACCATTTTTTAATCTAAACTACCCACATAGGGCGGCTTTTGTAAGAATGAGTTGGGACGGGAGAATCGCATATAACATCTTTAACTTCTTGGGCAGAAGATGAAATATAAATGTAATAAGCTAATAATAATTATACTATGAAGCATGGAACTCATGTCTAATTGTTACACAAGCCACATAAGCTTCAGATTTGATTGAGATTGTATAACTGATTTGATTTATTGGCATTAAGAACTGTACCGTCAACTTAGCGTTTATAAGAGCAAAATGCAAACCCTAGACAAAAAATAAACAACAGTTTACAGCTTTTCCCAGACTTGAATTTGGATTTAAAGGCTAACCCTATCTGCAAGGCCCTGGACTGAGGAAGCCTGCCCAAGAGACAACGATCAAAACAGCTTAAAACGACAAATACATGGCTAACAGTGACTAAGAGCCATTCATATGAAACAGATTTTTACATCACCCCAGGTATTTAATTCGAAATTGCTGAAATTACTGTAGAACATTTTGCAAATAGGAAACTTTCATCATTCACGAAACTTTGACTCATGCCCACACAGGACCAGCCAACAGTTAAATTCTGAGACTTCTCTTATTAATGTCTGCTTTGTCCTCAGCTGTGTAGGGCAACCAGGACCTTAAAACTATTGGTTTTCACACAGGTTCTTAGGGAACCAAAGCAACAGATACCTCCTTCTGTATGTTTGGAAACTGTTGCCTAAACAAACTATATTCTTAGAAGCATTAATATTCCCAAGACACTTTAAGGCTTTTCACCATGAAGATCACTAACAGTGGACAAGGTGCTGAAAAGCCACTCGTACATCACAACACATACCGTACAAGATGCAGAGCAGGAGTTTTCCCAGAATTTTCTCTAACGCATTTGCCCTTAATGCACAGCAATAGCAAGGAACTTCAATCCCACCTCTGTTCCATCTTTCCGGAACAATAACGCAGCTTTTTCATAATTCACCAAAAACGTATGTAACTTTTGCCCAGTTGAAAATCACAGCGGCAACCGTTTTAATTTGCTTGGAAAAACTACCTGCTGCTTGGCATTAGGAACCATAGGTAAAAATTGAGCCCTTGTTTGATAAGGGTACAATCATTTCTGGTGAGATAAAAACTTGAAGGCTATTGCATTTGGAATCCGGTTTGACAGATGCTTTGAAAAGATGCCAGTGGCATTCAGGGAAAGTGGAAGTGGTGAAAGCAGAATGTTGTAAAGAGATAGAATGCTGGTAACTTAGTAACTTTCTCTAACATATAATTATCTATCTCCAAACTAAACCAGAGTAGCAGACACTTTTGCAATCATTTCCTGATATACTTCATTTTATGCTGGAGTCTGCTTACAAGTCTTAATGAGTTTTTGCAGCTAACAATCCCCAGAAGACGTTTGCTTTAGTTCATACATTCAAGGATCAAATTACCTTTAATTACTCCTATTAAAACAAAAACAAAAACCACCACTTTAAATGTCAGAGCAGGTAAGACCCACAAAAGCAAGCTAGCAACAATATCCACTTGCAAAGCAAGATCAGCGCACCCAATACATTGGAAACTGACCAAATCCATATTTTTCCACAGAATCTGTTATGCAATAGAAGGAGCATGTTTTGAGGAAAAAATACGGATATTAAAAAAAGAAGAGACCACATTTCTTTAAAAGTATCCCTGATCTAACTTTCTCTGAGACTTCTCCAATGCCAAAAACCTGCATATCAATGGCTATGAAGAAAAACCTAAGTAGAGTTTAATGCCTTAAACTGAAATGTACTCTTTGTCATGCTAGAAGCTTGGATCACAAACCAGGTTTGCTAGAAGATTTCAAGATCTGGCAAAGCAACTAAATTAGCAGATGATGATAACTCACAGTCTCCTGGTTTCTAGGCCAGCAGTTTAACCAGTACACCAAACTGGCTCTAGATAAATAGAAACTAATTGCACTTCTATAAAGATTTCAGTAAATGACTACCAGGTAACTCATCGGGGGGCGGGGGGGGGAGTGTATGTGTATGTGCGTGTCAAAAAATTTAAGACAGTGGCGATTTGACTGCAGAATTTAACCACAACCACCATCTTGACTCTCCCCCCTTCCCTCACAGACACTCCCAGAGACTATTACACCTATGCTTCTCTTGGCTTATTTGAGGAAAAAATATAAACAAACAAACCCATGCACCTTTCAAAAAACAGCTTTGAAAGCCACTAAATTAAGATCAACTCCAACTCTCCAGTTTTACCCAAGCAAATGGTGATACAAGAAGTTTAGCACATGACCGGTTTCTTCCACTGCTGCCTGCATGTTGGATTTCAGTTTCTGTATTTCGTAGCCTGCGTGCCCTGTTTGGTGTTTCTGCCTAGCTATGGTTGAAACCAGAAAACCAGATTTAAATGGACTTTCAACCTCTTCTAATACATTTTAAAATCTCTTTAAAATGCAGGCACTGTTTAGCAATGACTGCCATGTTCCAAATATTCCCAACAGGTGCACAAAAGCAGGTTTCAGACTTATTGGTTGTCTTTCCCTTTTGCTTCTATGTAAATGACAAGAGATTTGTGTCTCATTTAAAAGCATTTCTGGAAGCTTTTTACTCAATCCTTGATCCCTACCAGACTTCCCTTTATCTTGCTCACACCACCCATTATAAAAGCTTTCAACAGCTATTCATGGGCTTTATTGTGAAAGAGTGGTTTCTCAATTTTTTATAACTTTAAGACCTAGGCAGTGCAGGTCATCTTCAGAGCCCTAAGCGTTAAGCATATTTATCTGCCATTTCGAGGGTGGAAACCATGAAGCACCACCAACCCTGCTGAATTCTTCCTGGTATTTGTGTGGGCCATGGAATGCTTACCCTTTTTCTGTGATTATTTGCTGCAGTGATCTTCCCTTCCCCCAAAGTGTAATAAAAATATTGAGTTGAATGAAGAAAAACTGCCCTATCAAGTTGAAATGGCCTTTTAAAAAATGGGAGCGGGGTGATGGGAAGAAGGGTAAGTTAGCCTGCAAGAATATAGATGATGGCCTGGAAACGTGCTGAAAGTATTAATTCAAAGAGTTAACTAAATGCCTAATCCCAGGAAAGCAAGTTGAAGAAATAATCACCTGGTAACATATAAAGCAGGAAGGTTATTCATACTTGCATATTACCATAGACATATGGCAAAGGCTAGCTCTCACACCTTAATATTCACCAACCAAGTGTTTTCCAATCTGTGATCCAAATGTTGCTCCTGGCACCCAATTTATAGCCCTCCAGCACCTTAAAACTGCACTGCTGAAATTCAGTAGGAAATAGTTTATTTTCAGTGGTGCGATATTTGTGCTAATTCCCCCCAAAAGTAGAGGGGGAAAGGAACATTAGGTGTCTGAGAGGCAAACAGCATCATTTTCCAACCTAACTCTCCCATCCCAAACCATTCTCTTAATTTGGTCATTTTGCTGCTGAATTTTAGTTGCCAGGTTCTAGGACAATTTGACAGGGTTTTTAAGACCTGAAATAGGTGCAGTATGGCTTCCAGGGGCTTCCTCTTCTCACTCCCAGTCTTAAACCTCAGGAAAACCATGAAGAACAGGCCAAAAACCCATTGCACCACTTCCTGTGATATCACCATCCTTTTGGAGATATTGTTCACCAGCAAGCTGGTGTTTGCGTGTCAAGTTGCAGCCCTGACTCACTGAAAATTGCCCTTCCCTACATCTGAGCATCAATAGTTCTCCTGGGAGTTAGTAATATTATTTATTAGGTCTATATCCCAACTTTTCTCTGAGGACTCACAAGAACACACACAAAGATGCCCCTTATTTCATCCTCATATCAACAAACCTGGAGGTAGGCTAGGTTGAGAGAGAATGACTGGCCCAAAATCATTCAAATGGAATTATAAACCTAGGCCTCCCTGGTTGCGGCCCAACCACAACAGGACCCTGGCTCTGTTGTGGGCTGGACCTCTTTCAACTGATCTATCTACATGAAGGAAACAATGATATGTTGCTAGCATGGGAGCCAGCCTTACAAGCTTTACCAGTGCTGACCAAATCATAACAGCAAGATGAATAGCAAAGCATCCAATTACAGGAAATGACTAACACTGAAGATACCCTAGACATCAGTACCAACATATTCAAAGTAAAGGGCGCTGCTCATAGATAACACAAAGGAGCAAACACACTCGCTCTTGCTATTGGCTCCTGTTCTAGGTCTATTTCTTATTTTTTATGACATTAGCTTCTTCACTATTTACAACCACAGCAGAAGACATCTTTATAATAGTCCCTGACATATTTTAACAAGTGCATTCAATTTACAGGTAGTCCTCAGCTTATGTCCATTCATTCAGCGACCGTTCAAAGTTAGGGCGGCACTGAAAAAATGGACATATGACCAGTTCTCAAAGTTCTGGCCAATGCAGCACCCCTGCGGTCACATGATTGTGATCTGGGCAATTACAACAATTACAATATTGCAGGGAGTAGTGGTTACACAATCACCATTTGTGACCTTCCCTGCCAGCTTCCCACAAGCAAACTCACTGGGGAAGCCTGCAAGAAAGGTCACAAGTCACTCTGGTAAGTCACTCCTGTTTTTTCTCCCACCTGTAGCACCTCCCCCACC